TACAGGTGGACTCCCACGTCTCGGGAATTTCGGGGGCGGCCCTGCGCAGGGAGACAGGCCGCATCCTTTGTGGCGGCTTCGCCTTCCTAAGCCTCGTAGAATCAAAGACTCCTACGGCCGGAACAGACCTCAGGAGGCATCAGATCCAGCCCCCTGCCCACGGCAGGGCCAGCCCAACTCAATCACCCCAGCCAGGGCTTGGTCCAGCCAGGCCTGAAACCCCTCTAGGGATGGAGCCTCCACCCCCTCCCTCGGGAACCCAGCCCAGCGCTTCCCCACCCGCCTAGGGAAATAGTGTTTCCTAATCTCCAACCCAGACCTCCCCCGCTGCAACGTGAGCCCATTGCTCCTTGTTCTGCCGCCTGCCCCACTGGGAACAGCCTCTCGCCAGCCTCTTGGGAACTTCCCTTCAGGAAGCTGGCGGCTGCTCTCAAATCCCCCCTCGCTCTTCTCTTCTGCAGAGTAAACAAACCCAAATCCCTCAGCCTCTCCAGTCCCCTGATCATTTTGGTCGCCTTCCGCTGGACCCTCTCCAATGCGTCCACATCCTTTCTATAGTGGGGGGCCCAGAACAAGATACAATATTCCAGATGTTCAACAGAGCCAAATAAAAGGGAATAATCACTTCTCTGGATCTGCTGGCAATGCTCCTCCTAATGCACCCTAGTATGCCATTAGCATTCTTGGCTACAAGGGCATGCTGTTGACTCATATCCAGCTTCTCATCCACTGTAATCCCCAGGTCCTTTTCTGCAGAACTGCTACTTAGCCATTCATACTTGGGATTCCTCACTCCCACGGGCAGGACTCTGCTCTTGTCCTTGTTGAACCTCATTGGATTTCTTGTGGCCCAATCCTCTAATCTGTCCAGGTCACTCTGGACCCGATCCCTGCCCTCCAGTGTATCTACCTCTCCCCAATCGCCCCGCTCTGCCCTGGCAAAGCAGCATGGGAACTGGGAAAGGCCCAGAGAAACGAGGCAGGGCCAGGAACGGCGTCCAGCCGGGGCTGCCCTGTTTCGGAAAGAGACGCCCCTGCCGGAGGTGAACGAGATCCTGACGGGGGCCGAGAAGGCGAGTCGGGAAAGCGGCATTCATCCCGACTCGCGCCAAAAGTGCCAGAGGGCGCCTGCGGAAAAGAACAGGCAGCAGCCTTGAAACAAACCAAAGGCAGTCACTTCCACCCAGAAGCCAGAGTTAACCTGTGGAACTCCCTGCCGGGGGAATGTTGTGGTGGTCAAACGTGTAATTGGGTTTAAAAAAGAATAAGAGAGTTCATGGAGGATAGGCTATCTATCTATCCCCTCCTCTCTCTCTCTCTCTCTCTCTCTCCACTATCTATTTACCTGTCCATTCATCTATCTATCTATCTATCTATCTATCTCCACACACCCCCTCTATCTAATTATCTATCTACTATTTACCCGTCTACTCATCTAACTATCTATCTATCTATCTCACCACCTGTCCATCCCTCCATCCCTCTCTCCTGCGGGGCTGAGGACGGCAGCTGAGCAGTGACGGGTGAGTCACCATGGCGTGTGAGCAACCAGAGGGTCATGCAGCTGGAGGATGAGCGAGCCCCGGGTGTCGTCATCTGGTCCTTTCCCTGCTGGGTGCCGGAGGAAGGGTTCGGTTCACAGGCCAGCCCTGCCCCCGAGGCGATGTCTAGATGGCAGGCTTCTTGCGAAAGATGTTTTTCCTGAACAGATCTTCTGGAAACCGGCTTCCGGAAGAGAGCGCCCGCACGGCCACAGCGCCTCGAACAAGCCACCTGCTTTTTCGACAGAGCGTCCGCGCTGAACGGACGCTCTGTCGCATGTCAGCTGGGATTGCTACGGGCGGAGCTGGGCACCTGGGCTTTCTCCTCTTCCCCCTTCTTCTGGCAGAACTCCCTCTTCCCCGCCCACGTCCGCCTTTTCCCGAAAGAGCTCTTTCCCCAAAAGCCTCCTTCCTCACAGGAAGAGGAAAACCGACGCCGGAAAACCCCCCTGGGCTTTCAGTTTTCTTGCAGAGGGTTGCAATCGCAGTATGGACGTAACTCACCTTTGGTCGGGAAAAACGGCCGCTTTTCCGACAAAGCGTAGACATACCCTGAGCGTCAGACTCATCTGCCCTCCGGTGGGTGGGACACAATGTGGGGAGGGGAAAGGGGGCAGGGGCCTGTGTGCGTGAGAGTTACAGGCTGACACTAGATCTAACTCTCCCCGGTACCCTCTGTCCCTTAGTTCCAGCTCATCGCTCTGCCGGGACAACAGGCCCCGTCACTCATGAACAGCCCCCCCCACCTCCGATCGCCCCATTGGCCCAGCCCTGGCCCACACGAACCAGACGTTTGCCCTGCTGGCAGGGGCGGAGTGCTCTGGATGCGGCCTGTGACGCGGGTGTTGGTGTGACCACCCGGGGCAAGGGGCGCTCATGCCCAGCACCAGTGGTGGCAATGCAGCCAGCGCTGGGGAGGAGCAGGTGGGAACAGCTGCACAGGGACCCCGCACAGGGATGGTTTGCCTGACACCGACATGCAGCCAGCTCTGAGGCGGAGCAGGTGGGAACAGTCACCCAAGGATGGATCAGGCCAACCCCGAGATGCAGCCAGCTCTGGGGTGAAGCAGGTGGCAAAAGC